ATTACTATTACTATTACTATTATTATTATTGTTATTAATCGTTGCTACTGTCATCGCTGCTGTTGATGAGGGCGCTCATAGTCAGACACAAAATTAAGTATTTAAAAAGAAGAACCAGTAAGAGTAGAACTATATAAATGAAATCGCAGTAGGTACAAAAAAACTTTTTTTATTCGTTATTTTAGCTTCCAGATACCATTTAGTAGTTCGCAAGTGGCAAATTAACCTAAGCAGTAGAAGAACAGCTTATGTATCAAAGTGCTTGCTAAATTTCTCCCTCCAGAGAGCTTTAAAAATGTAGCAAGCACCTTACACATTTGGGAAAGTATGGATTTTAGTATAGGTCAATAGATGGCTTCTGTTCAAAAGCACTACTTTTTCATTGAAGCGGAAAACTTTTTTATCTTTGCTGATTCATAGGAATTTTAATCCGAGACTTACTGTCACGAAAGGAAGACTCGTCACTGCTAGTGGTAGTGGAAAAGCCATAAAGAGTTAAAACAGAAGACACAACTCATCGATATTTCGAGTTTATTTTTTTTTCTACTGAGTTATAGAAAAAGCAAGAGAGAAGAAGGAAGAAAAAGTAGCCGCAAGTTAGAGATACATTTTAGCGCATTTTCCCCGCCTTTTTCATTTTGAGTAAGAAAAAAAATTATCCACAAAATCTCTCCATCTCGTTTCTCTGATTTTTCCTCATCAAATTAATACTGAACTTTTCTTAACCAATAATCTGAAAAGAATTCTTGAGGTAAACTTAAAAGATTTTCGCACTTCTTTGAAAAGCTTATATGTTCTGGAAATCCTTCACCTCAAAGGATATAAGACTGCTATCTGTTTACACTGTTGTGGTGTGAATTTGATGAAGCTAGCAGAACACCCATCATTTTCCTAGCAAAAACTTTCAACCCCGCACTTTAATTTTAAGTAAACTCGATAAACGACCGCCGTTGAAGTTGAACTGAATTAGAGTTTTAGTCAACGAGCCTGTTGCAACAGAAATAAACAGCATTATTTGCAAGAGTAATGCAGTACCTTTGAAGAACTGTATGATCAATCCGCAATGTTAGCAAAATAAATTTACTTCAATATTCAAACAGAAGATATTAAAATAAAAGGTTGATTAAATGCTCAGAATATTAAGTTCCCTGCTGCCATTGAAAAATTTTAATCTGTTATTCTTTAACGGCAATAAAGGAAAAAGAAGAAAACCAAAAGTTTTTTAAATGCCACTGATTTAAGCAGTATACAGTAAATTCTCAAAAGCTAGAAAGAAAAATAAACATCAACGTAAAACTCCCAATTCAGTATTTCCAGCACTGAGTTTATCGTAGGATTCCTGACGATTGTAAAACTTTAGTAAATGAAACGTTCTCAGCTATCAAATTTTGTGCAGTGTAGCCCCGGAAAAATATTCCAAACGACTTTCAAAGTTGCCAAATGCGCACGTGCAAACTGCTGTGAAAGGACTCCTTTAATAGAAAGCAGCAAAAACCATCATTTAACAAAAAAAGAAATCTCTAAAAGATAACCTGAACCATTTCATACACTTTCTGAGTGAACAGTTTCATGGAACTACTCGAACAATCGGATATCAACGAAAAAATTGCATGAAACTTATCAATGTAATGTTCGCCTTCCATAATTGAATCAATCTATGAGAGCTAAGTCATTTGAAAATGTCTTTTAAAAAAAAATAATTTTTAGGTCTTAAACAATTTGAATTCCTTCAATTTTAAACTATCTAATCTTCCTCAATCAAACACTTCTAACAGCCACGATGGGCTCAGCAATCAAACCTTTCAACTTTGACGACATTCTTGGCTACGAATTCAACTAATTAGACTGTGAGCATACGTTTATCTTGTAATAAAACAATATAGACATTTCTGTGGTAGTTTTAAACTTTTCAGTAGAGCAAATAAATCTGCTCATAAAAGTTTAAAAAATGGCTGTTTAGAATATCCCATAGTTGGAAATTTTGGTTTTATTTGCATTATTTATGTCCCTACGTAAAACTTTTGCTTCCTCCACAATGCTAAATAAATGAAGAAGATAAATAAAGTGTGAATAAATCGCAAAATTTAAAAACAGAACCTCTGTTTGCTTAGAAAGTGCTAAAATTGAAGCTTTTAAAAACTTATTTTACTTTGTATAAATTTGAATTGGTAACCTAAAATAAACTTACGAATGTGCCTACGCTTTAGCACAATATGCGTCTCTCATTTATCTCTGCAGTTTAATCAGCCTTAAACGTCTGCGAAATGGGCAATTTTTACATCTACAAGAACCTGTAGTTTAATGATGAAGTCAAACATCAGAAACAAATCTTAAACTAAAAATACTTCACTATGCAGAGAGAAGCCTTTAAATTTCAGAAAAAACTTCTCTAGCACCATCAGTACCTAGTCCGCTAACAGACTTGTCATTTAAGGAAGCAATAACGTCCAAAAGTCAGAGATTTGTACCAGAGGGAGCACAGATAAAAG